ATTCCTATAAATCTTTTTGAGCTTTGTTCTGGAATACAGCTAACTGACTTGGAAACAGTCAAGTCTTGACCCTTTTAAGTCTTGTTTTTAGGACTTATTAGGTGGATCCAGAGCAGTGCTCACTCTAGGGCTAGTAAGCCCTCATTTATGAGGCAAGACTTTCCTGGATGCTTTTATTAATCATATTTTTGTATTCTGTATTTTATGTTTTTTAATTTTTTTATGACACTTTGACATCTTGGGGCTTTGCTAATCCTGCAGACTGCCCCTCCCAGAGTCAGTTAATTCTTAGAGACAGTAAATAACTTGCTGGCGGGCATGCCTTTCATATACAAACTAACCAATCCAAACTCTACACCCAACCACCTTTATCTAACTCTCACACACCAAGCCAATATTTCCCCAGCCCTAAACCACCCCAGGGCCAGGTACTAGACAAGAGACCACCCTTATAGCCCACAGCCCTTTGAATTTATTCTAATTATTCAATTCTAAACTTACTCAAACTTGCCTAACCTGCCTCGTCCATTCCTTCCCCCTGGAAACCACAATAAAGGCTCTGGGTCATGCTCTCCCGTCACTCATTCTGCCTCATTACCCACCCTGGTGTTTCCTCATGTGACCCTGTGTGGTGTGGTGTGCCCCCTCCTCTTGGGAACTGTGAGTAATAAATTTTTCTTTCAAGGCAGTTGTCTCCATGTCTGTCACCATACCATTCCTGACGAAAAAAAATCCTTGGTACATTTTAAAACAATAGTCTACCCAATATCCTATGAATTGAGTTTTTGTCTGGCTGGCGGGAACAGGAACTATTCCCAGCCCTGTGTGATACCAGGCACCACACTGTTGTAATCCTTTTTGATGGTTCTTTCCCCAGCCGCGGTTAGTTTTCTCACACTCATGTGCTGATCAGTACCCTGAATATTCAAAAGGGACCTTCTGCAGATCTCCTGGGCTCTTTGTGTAGCTTTCTCTTCTCTGGTATTCTGTCCTATGAACTCGAGCTGCCTCGGCCTCTCTGAACTCTTAGCTCTGACTCCTCAACCCGGGTAGGCTAGCAGGATCCACTTCAGTTCCCCCTCACTGTGCCTCAGAGTGGAAACTCTTGCAAGGCAGTAGCCCACCTTATTTGTTTTCCATCTCTTAGGGATTACTCTCCTTCAATGTCTGAGTTTTGGTTTTTTTCAGGCATGAAGATAAATCCAGGCAATTACCTCCATCTTGGCCAGAAGCAAAAAAATCTGGTATGTTTTATTTTGACTTCATTTTTTTAAAAAGATTATAGAATACCCAGCAAGTGAATGTAGAAGCTGAGATAGTAGCAATGAATCAACTGAGTCTAAACCCTCCCTTGTACAGATAACCAACTAGAGGCTTGGTGAGAAGTGGTAGCAGACGTAGTCAGAACCAGAATCCATCTCTTAAAGCTTGGTATAGTCATCCTTCTGACATCATCCTTTCTTCTATATCTTCTTTATATTGCCAAGTTGTTTTTAATTTTAAAGTAGCATATTTTCAAAAAAAAATACATATTTTTTAAAAAGAGAGAATGTGCTTAAATATTCAGACCTCCCCAATCCTGGCAACAAGTTGGAAGCTTATTCTCTAGAGGGGATTAGAAGGTTGCTGGACTAGGAAGCCTTCCCCAAAACCTAGAAGATGAAGTGATCTGGACCTATCAGAATGCTGAAACTCCCCAGCCCTCTTCCCCCTCTGAGCTCCCAGAAGGCCAGCAGTTCAAGGTAAACCCACCTGACAAGAGACTGGAAATTTTCTCCAGGGAATCTGACCAGCCCAAGAGGAAGTCCTAAAGGTACAGACATTGGGGATTTACCCAAAAAAGTTCAATTTTTTTAATACCCTACTCTTAAATAGAAGTGGACAACCAAAGATTGCCAGGTAGCTAAGGAAAGTCTGTAACATGAAAAACTAAAAAAACAAAAAGGGGGAAGAAAATATTGTGCAGGCAGATGAAAGCTTCAACAAACATATCAACATCCTCAGAGATAAGAAGTATTGCAACTACAGAACAAGCTCCTATTAGGAAAAAAAAAAAAAAGGAACATTCAAAGAATCAACTTGGGGGAAATCTTCTATAAAGGAGATTAAAAGACAAGAAAATTGGAGGTGGCAGGGAGAGAAAAGGTAAGAACAGAGGTAAGTCCAGGAGATCCAACATCTGATTAACATAACAGGAATTCCAGAAAGAAAAGTCAGAAAACCAAAGGAAGGAAACCATTAGCAAATAATTCAGGAAAGTTTCCCAGAAATGAAGGAGGTGAGTCCATTCTGAAAGGATTCATCAAGGGCCTGGCACAATGCATGAAAACAGACCTTCACCAGTGTGTCACTGTGAAATTTCAGAACACTGGTGACAGAAGGGAAAAAAGAGTCACATACAAAGGATCAGGATTCAGAATGGCTTCAGACTCCTCTACAGCAACACTAGATGCCTGACGGAACAGTAACAGCGCCTTGAAAGTTCTAAAGGAAAACAAATTCCAACTTAGAATTTCATAACCAATGAAATCAAGTGTGAGAGAACAAGACATTTTCAGGCATGTGGTCACTCAAAAAACTACTTCTCACATACCCCTCCTACCACGGGTACTCTACTAAAATGAGGTAACAACTCGAGAGAGGAAGAGGTTACACAGAAAACAGGAGATTGAACAAAGAGCGGTGCGGAAAGCCCATGATGACAGCAATACATCAGGCACAAGGGAGAGCAAGAAACTGGGGGTCAAGTGGTTCAAGAAGAAACTGATGAAATAGATGATGTGTGAATGTCTTTAGAGAACTCTGGGGTTTAATTGGGGACACGCAGACAGAAAACTAAGCAAATAAAAATGCACGATTATTAATTCTAGGGAAAAGCAAGTTCTGCAGAAAAAGTAATCTAGCCCACTACATGGCTCAGCTTTGATGTAAATACCCAGTCGTAATAATGTAAACACTGTTATCTAACTTGACTTATAATATCAGGGAAGTGGGTGATGGAGAGTACATGCACACTGGGCAGGAGGAATAGAGAAAAGTCAAACGATAATGCCTAAAATGGAATCACCAAGGAGCACCCAGGCAAACAGGCTTACATTGAGACATGGAGGGAGAACAGGGCAGAAGGGCAGAGCTGTTTTTCATAATAAACCTTGCAGAACTGTTTGCTCTTTCAATGTGAATAACTGATTTTCTTCTAAAGTGCTGGCTGGATATAAAACTGTTTATAAAACTACGTATTTTAGGTTAATTTCTTTTATTGTTCTAAAAAACCTCCAAATTTTTATTGTGAACATTTAATTAGAAACAAAGCCATAAATGAGAACCTCTTTCACTTTTTAGGATCTAGGGTTACAGCTAGTTTTCACTGTGTGCAGAATCGTTCAAGGCTGGTATTCCTGCATTGAATCATGTCCAAAGTCAGCTTTTCAGATTCAGGATGCCATTTGTTACTATTAAGTATAGCGTATTATTATTTATTGTTTCCTGTAAAAGTATGATAATTTAAGTTGTAATCATACTAACATAACATATTCCAGTCCAGGGTCAAAATGCAGCCTCAATGATATACTGAAACAGAGTCACCTAGCTGGGGTGGCAAGGGCACTGTTTAATAATTTTATTTATTTATTTTCCCCCCAAAGCCCCAGTATATAGTTGTATGTCATAGTTGCACATCCTTCTAGTTGCTGCATGTGGGACGTGGCCTCAGCATGGCCAGAGAAGCGGTGCGTCGGTGCGCGCCAGGGATCTGAACCCGGGCCGCCAGCAGCAGAGTGCACGCACTTAACCACTAAGCCACGGGGCCAGCCTGCAAGGGCACTGTTTAAAATGCAGATTCCTGGGTTCCACTCTAGACCAACTAATCAGTTTCCAGGGGTGGGGCCTTAGAATCTTAATTTCTAACAAGATCCCTAGCTGATGTTGAAAACCACTGCTCCCACTTGCTATAACTTAGTAGGCTTCAGTAATAAGCCAAGAAATCCATGTCTGTAAATCAAGGTGACCAGCACGGGGGATTCAGAGGAGTTGGGGGTGCTGGAGCAAGAGGCACAGGGGCTGCTCTGCGGGGATGGTCTTTGAAGCCTTATTTGACACACCTGTGGTATCTGACTGACCCACAGATGCTTGCTCCTTAGGAGTTCTTGATTACAGGAACAATACAAGGCCTGTTACCTTGTATCATGATAGTGCAGTATCATGATTACAAGACAAATCTTGTTAGAAAATCTCTACTTGATGCCAGGTTAAGAGCTGTGTTGGATTTTCTTCTTCCTCTTCCATTACTTGAACAATCATCCAATGAGCAATGTTCTAAGGGCCAATAATTGATCCCTTTTCCTCAGTAGTTTGTGCTTAGCTTGCCCTACTCCAAACCGCTGCAAGACCTCTTTTCCGTATTTGACTTCTTCAGGCTGCTTTTCCAATTTCTGCGTTTTTGTCACAGTTATTCGCTTTGCACACCCTGTCCTCTCTACCTTTGCTACAGTGAAACCTGGCTGTGCCAATCAATGCTGAGACGTTCTGACAAAGGCACAAGAATCTGTCCCCCCAAATCACCACAGAACTGCTTACCAAGCCAGTACAGGAGCCACAGATGCTGGCCACTAAGATTCTAAGAATCACCTTTTAAAGTTAGATTACTTTTGCCAAATGTGAACCACTAGGGTTTCCAGGGCACAGAGACCAGAGCATTGGACTTTTTCATGGGCCAGGACCATCTGTGTTGTGTTGTTCACCATGCCCACTAAAATTACCTGAACAAAGCTCCAGGTAAGTGCCTGTGTCTGAAGACGAATGAGACAACCTGTGTATTCTCTTCTTCTGAGGGCTTGGAACAGCAGCTTAAACTCATCAATAACTGTGCTACTTCAAAATACTGGCATTTTCCCAGGACATCTCCCATGGTGTCAAAATTTAACCTGCTGCCAAAGCAAACAGAACACCATACTCCAAAATGACCACACAGTCCATATTTTCTCAAAAACAAACAAAAAACACAACCCAAAACAACCATATTTATTTAGTTTAACATTTCCCCTGATCTAAAGAGAAAGATGTCAAAAGAAAACCTAGCACACATACACAAGTACATACCCACCCCGACCCCCCACTCCCCAGCCCTGAACCCAGATAACCTAAAAAAAAATAAAAAGGCAAGCTCTGTTCAATAGATACATTTATCTTCGCTTCTGGAAGATGTTCCCACGTCCCATTCCACGTCCTCTTCCTCTTGCAGCCACTGAAAGGTGGGGTAGAGAAAGGACAAGGCCAGGTCAGTGCGGCCAATGAGTGCTCATGCTAGGGAGCAGCCAGAACCCTAGGACATCGCCATAGGAAGGGGCCTGAAAGGCCACCTGGTCCAACACCTAGCCCACCCCATTGCATTTCACAGGGGAAAATGGAGACCCAGAGAGGGGCAAGGACTGGTGCCTGGCATCAGAGCTGGAGTGGGCACCAGACTCCTGCCTTCCAGTCCAGCACTGCTCTCCACAAGAGGCTGGGAGGCAGGGTGTTGAGAGCGAAGGTGGTTGGGAGAGCAAGTCTGAGAACCACAGAAAAGACGAATTCCCAGAGCTGGCCTCAGGCGAGCTAATAATGCATGACAGATGCATTTAATTCACACTCAGAATTCTGAAACGGAGTTAAATGTTAACATCTGTTAGATCTGGGTGAGGGGTTTTATTATTCTTTGAGCTATTCTGCATGTATGAAATGTTTCATGATAGCAAAAAACACCCCCCCCAAAAAAAAACTCACAAAAAAATAAAACCACTCCTCATACAAAGGGTACAACAAGACAGCTGTTCTCTGTGACCCATGGGTTCTAGGAGGGCACCAGTGGTTTCAAAGGACAGGTGAAAATATTCTGATGGCTACTAATTAGAGCCTGACCCCTCTCTCCTCTTATAGAGCCTGGAGCCGCCCTGAAGAGGGAGGAAGTCACCCAAAACCCAGCCACATGAGACAGGACCAGAGCAAGGGGTTGGGAGAGGCACGGACGGCTCAGGCAGAGGCCAGTGGGCCTAGGCAAACTCACTGCCAAGTGCCTTCTAGTGCATAGCCACTGGGTTTCCCCTTTTGTTAGAGAAGACGGTGCAGTTACACAGCGATGAGGACAGCCCTTCCCTGAGAAGGCAGAGAGAACAGCAGTTCCAGCAAGAAAACTAGCATTTCTGAAAATCATTCCTTCTCCAGAACAAAAGGTCCAGAGCTCCTGGTTCCATCTCCCCACAACTGCCTCTTGTGTAGGAAGGGCAAGGAGATTCTCTGCCCAGTTCTTTTGGAAGGTATTTGAAAGGATTACTCTACTGCATCTTTAAACTCAAAAGCTACCTCATATATAACATACGTACAGCAGCTAAAGATACTGATGGCAAATTCAGTGACTTTCCTGCTCTGTAAATCTTGTTACCAATACTAAGACAGTTTCTAAGGACTTCACTTGCTTTCTTAGCTAATCAACATGGCAGAACTTCTCATGGACCCAAATATAAAACCTCTGACTGGGCTAAACCAGAAGAAAGGCCAGTCTAAGTCACTGGGAAAAGGCTAGTCCCACTTTCGGAACATGCTACAGAAAGGATTTATTTTCAAATATAAGAAGCTTTGAAAATAGAAGTCCAGCCCCCTTTAATGGGTAAAGATGGCTTAAAACTGGTTACTCATCTGAAAACGGATCCCCACCATCAGAATTTCTCCCGATTTACACTGAGTGTCAGTACACATACCCAGCCTCTCTGAGAACTGTTGCCTGCTGCTTCACGAGTCAGCTAACCCACACCGAAGGGCCCCGCTCAGTAAACTAGACAAGAATAAGGTTCCTGCAGACATCTTGGACAGAATTTCTGGAAACAAAGGACCTCCTAGAGATTCATTATAGGAGACTTATCTACTCTTTCATTGAGGACAGGATTCCACATCTTTTTTCTAAGGAGCCACTCTGGATTTTGCATAAGTCATATGAATATGCTCAGGCAAGGCAAGACAGAGAAGGCAGGCCAAGGGCCCCAGTCCCTCACAAGTGGGGGCCCCAAGACCGCGGGAAAAAGCGGTGGCCATGGGTGTGAAGATGGCTGAGGTCAGGTCCACCCCTGTGCCCAGGCAATGACAGGGCCCTTTCCTAAAAGATACACGACAAACCTGTATGTTAACAGCAGCGCATGAGGAACACCTACCTTGGGCCTTCAGGATAGCAGCTTTTCCCCGACCAGCCCCTGAGCCTTGGTTTTTATTTTTCATGCTCTTTAACATGGGTGCGTTTTTCAGCATGTCAGGCAAAATCAGAAAGCGGATCTTGCTGCCACGGATGTACACCTGCTCCAGTTGTGCCACTCGGCCATCTCTGTATGTGACTGTGATGTTGGACATCTGGAAGGGAATCACCACCTCATCAGTAAGGGCCAGCAGCACCAGCGGAGAACAGGGGTGCACAAAGAAGAGAAGCCTTGGCTGGTGGGAAGTCCAGAAATGCAGAAACTAACGTCATGAAATAAGAGGGCTAGGCAAAGCTGGGGGAGTATGAGTGCCTACTGTGTGCACCAGGGACTGTGCTAAGGACTTCACATTTTTGTTCCTCACAGCACCTCCAGGGTAGGTGTAAGCTTTCCCATTTTTACAGATAAAAAAACTAAGGCACTTGCCCCAAGTCAAAGAGCCAGAATGCAAGGTCTCCCGATTCGAACCCAGGTGGCTTGGCTCCAAAGCTCTAACTCTGCTTATCCTGCCTCCCTGCCAGCACGTGAAGCGCTCCCAGTGTGGATAAAATCTAACTGAAACAGCTATCACCTGCTTGTCCAAACTGTGTCCTCTCTCGCATCTTCCCTGCACACAGACCGCAAAGGCACTGTGAAGGTCAGGGGCATTCACCAGATGTGGTTCCCATCCTCTCAGAGAGCACACTCTAGGAGACAAGACAAAGCTCCTCTGGCTTGAGTGACTAGGGACTGAGAAGTGGAAGTGGCAATGCCTGTACGAAGGACCCGGATTATTGGAGAGATGTGAGGCAAGAGCTGGCACAAAGAGAGACAAGACACTCGGGCAGGAACCTACAGGTTGCAGGGACTGGAGCAGTGGAACTGGGACCAAGGACAAGGTTGTCACCTCAGAAACTACAGAGGTCACTCAACTTGTGGACAGAGGAAGGGTGGATAGGGTTAGGGCAGCACTCTGGAAGGATGAACATACCAACACGGGTAAACTGTGGGATGGAGAGGCGAGGAGCCTAGAGGTGAGACGCCAGGAGATCAGGGTGGCGTGGGAATGTGACACAAACATGCCAGCACCTATCTCAACATCACATTTACCAGAAAAAGGAGCTTATTTTATGAGTCTTCTGGATGGAAGAGGATTATAATTTATTCAGAAAGGGTCAAGCCCACATTGTAGTGAGGTGTGCAGTCTCCCCACCTTGGACTCACTTGATCTTTTCTTCAAATGCTAACTGGCCACCCAGCCTCTGCTTCAACACCCAGCGTGCAAAGACTAACAACACTCTAGGGCTGCCCTGCTATATCTGTGCAGTTGGAATGATTTCTAGAGCTTCAACACACTGTTGTGTTGCAAGGAGCGCGCGCACTTAACTGCTACACCACTTAACCGCTACACCATGGGGCCAGCCCTAAACCCACACTCTTAACCATACATCAGACCACCACTTACTTCCTACAACTGTTAAGAAGCAAATTAAATGAGGCAAGTTATCTCTAAACGCCATTGCCTACCATATAATAGAAGCACAGTAAATGGTGAATCTAAATGATAGTTAAAATGTCTATTTTGGGGGCTGTGCTGCTGCCAAGCCACTTCTCCTCCAGCACGTCCTGGCAGATCTCCCTCCTTCCTCTGTCACAATCTCCCCAACTGGCTTTGAGAATCCCTGACAGCGGCTGTAATATAAGATTTTTTGTGTGTGTGTGTGTGTGTGTGAGGAAGATCAGCCCTGAGCTAACATCCATGCTAATCCTCCTCTTTTTGCTGAGGAAGACTGGCTCTGAGCTAACATCTATTGCCAATCCTCCACCTTGTTTTTTTTTTTTCCCCAAAGCCCCAGTAGATAGTTGTATGTCATAGCTGCACATCCTTCTAGTTGCTGCATGTGGGACGCGGCCTCAGCATGGCCGGAGAAGCGGTGCGTCGGTGCGCGCCCGGGATCTGAACCCGGGCGGCCACTAGCGGAGTGCACGCGCTTAACCGCTAAGCCATGGGGCCGGCCCTGTTATATAAGATTAACACAACTTAAACTAAATGTTTTCACAAACGGCACATGTCCTGGCTAACGCAGGAAAGGTCCAAGATCACTTGCCTCTGATCACATTCTAAGAACCAGGTCTGCCATTGCTCTCATGCTCTCCCTGCAGCAGTGGAGAAATGGCTGCGCTGTGGACGAGGCCCCAAAGTCCCACCGCTCGCCGGTACAGCTTGTCAATAAGCCCAAGGCAGCAACTTGAGTGAATCAGGTTTTAATGAAAGTCAGGCAGGAACACCCAGTTTACACAACTTTCCCAAAGAGTCACAATGAAACACAGATGGCATAAGCCAGGTAGCCAACTGAAATGACATCCTGGGGGAAAGCAGATCTTAGTACAGTCAAAAATGTTGGAATCTCCTCACACATCTGGGCCGAGATGGAGCTAGCTCGAGGGTTGTAAAGCAGTGGTGGGGTGCTTCAGGATCGTCAATCACAACATCCCCATTGTGGGGCACATAGTAAGCACTCAACAAACATTTGGTCCCCTCCCCCTCTTCCCTGCCTTACCATTAATAGTAGAACCGCCTTCTTTTCCTCTGATCCCTTCTACTCATTTTCCTGCCTGAAATTCGGTAGAGCTGACAGTTTGATGCTTCCAGAGGCAAGAGGGTCTTACAGGTTTACCTTATGGTTCATCTTCAGAGACTGCCCTTAAGATCACAGACTGGGGAGTCAGAGACTTGGGTTTAGATCGCTCCTTCCATGTCTGGTCACCCTGGGCATCCTGAAGCTTGTCCTCAGAGAGGTCCTGTGATGACTGAAGGATCTACTGTATGTAAAACACTAGCATAGCACCTAGCACAGAATAAGCACACAATGAATGGAAGCTTGTGGTACTATTAAGCACACAGCCTTTCAGAGATAGGTCCTAGCTTCACAAGTTAAACTAAGACTTATTTAAAAATACTTAACAGTACCCAGATCTTGGTTTCTAAATTCTACTCCCAACTTAAAAGGAACCAAGGTTCCTTGAAGAAATGAATGATTCCAGAGCTGGGTTAGGGAAGGTAAAAGATGAGCCTGTAACAGACATCTGTGCCAGAAGGTAAGGACATGCTCCCCCAAAATGGCCAGGACATACCAAAAGGACAAAGGAGTCAGTTTGAGAGGGCTCCTACTGGCCAAATTTGGGATAATTTGAACATCAAAATAATGATAGTAAAGGATTACAACCAATTTAATAAAACAGAAACCCATGAGCCCATTTTGATAATGAAAGAATAAATGTAGTAAGGAAAGGCTCTTTCATACAGTAGACCTAATAAACAGAGAAAGAATGATGGAGTTAAAAAAAAAAAACAAACCCTTTTGCAATCATCATAGCAAAAAGATTCAAGTAAGAATCTTCACTGGGTGCTAAATAGCCAGGAGACAGGAGGGGGCTGATGAAGAACAGAATACTCACAAGATATTTACTTAAAGAATCTCCCCACAAAATTCTCATTAGTTACAAAGGCAAAGAACATACAGTGAAAAGACCACACAGCACCTTAACCAAACAATCATGGTTAACGTCACCAATAAACGGCAAACAGGCGTTTCGGGCCTCTGAGTGTGACACACTGAGGAGATGAAATCATCTATACAGTAATAGCAAAAAAAAGCACAACCCGAATCTAATCCTGAGTAAACATCAGAGAAACCCCAATCAAGGGACATTGTAAACAAATAACTGGACTCTATTCTTCAAAAACATCAATGGTGTGAAAAGCAAAAGCAGCGGAAGTGACCAAGACTAAAGCAGCATCAAGCGAGCTGACAGTTAAGTGTAGTAACTGAGGCAGAGAGGAAAACGTTACCATAAAGGACATTATTGGGACACTTGTAGAAATCAGAACATGGACTGCAGGTTCAAGTACTGATTCAATGTTGAAGTTCCTGAATTAATAACTGTACTGGGGGTACAGTAAGAGAGTATATTTGGTTTTTGGAGGGCTTTTTTTGTTTTTTTGAGGAAGATTGGCCCTGAGCTAACATCTGTTGCCAATCTTCCTCTTTTTGTCTTTTCTCCCCAAAGCCCCAGTACATAGTTGTATACCCTAGTTGTAGGTCCTTGTAGTTCTGCTATGTGGGACGCTGCCGCAGCATGGCTTGATGAGCAGTGAGTAAGTCCATCCGAACCCGCAAACCCCAGGCCGCCTAAGCGGAACGTGCCAACTTAACCGCTATGCCACCAGGCCGGCCCCGAGAGTATATTTGTTATTAGGAAATATACACAACAATTAAATACACTAATTTAAAAATTAGTTTTCCTTCTGGCTAGAGAGCTAGGTGTCTGAAGAAATTCCCAACCACGTTTCACTGAGCACTTCCAGAAGCTTTCCTGCTGTTAATTCTGGGTAGTTTTCTCCTGACAGTCATGTGAGAGCTTCTTTTTGGTTATCATTTTTACAAGAACTTATGATGCAGAGACCATTTCCCACAGACCACTATGCCACAGACAAGAAAACAGAGTTCTAACAGTCCAGTCAGTGATGAGGTAGGCATGCCAAAGGCCCCAAAGCACCATTTCAGCTCCTGCAGAATCTATCAACTCCACCACTTTCTCTCACCAAAACTAGGAATTACGTCACTCTAAAGATAGTGAAAGTGGGGGTGTGACCATTACCCTCTTTTTTAAAATAATATTTACTGTGCTTTATGATCACAAACTTAACACATGCTTGTCATTTTTTAAATGAGAAAAATATTTTTAAAAAAATTTTAATGACATATGATTTCCACTAAAAGATAACTACTCTAGTTTTCCTCAAAAACTTTTAATGCACCTTTTTTTCCTAATGTTTTATTTTTATTTATTTTTTATTGCAGTTACATTGGTTTATAACTGTATAAATTTCAGGTGTACATCATCATACTTCTATTTCTGCATAGACTACATCTTGTTCACCACCCAAATACTAATTACAATCAATCACCACACGCATGTGCCTAAACATCCCTTTTGCCCTCCTCCCTCCCCTCTTCCCCTCTGGTAATAATGCATCTTTATGTATCATTTATTGCTTGGTTTTATTTATTTTTATGTTTTTTTAATTGATGTTTTAATAGTTTTTA